AGAGAGAGAGAGAGAGAGAGAGAGAGAGAGAGAGAGAGAGAGAGAGAGAGAGAGAGAATTTAACATCTGATGGGTTAAATGTTAACAAAGCTAGAATTCTAGGCTCACCATTGGATGAACACGCCTTTTCCGGGCTGCATCTGCATTACATATCAGTTCCCAGAAAGTCCGATCAGCCTGCACAGAGAGAGAGAGAGAGAGAGAGAGAGAGAGAGAGAGAGAGAGAGAGAGAGAGAGAGAGAGAGAGAGAGAGAGAGGTGCTTAGTTAGCCATCAAAACTTGTGTGTGCATCCATGTTGTCAGGGTCTTGTTTGGACATGTGAAGGGAGTAGAGAAAGGGAGGGAGGGAAATGTGCACACTCCCGCATAACTGTGTGTGTGAGATTGAAAGAGAGGGAGAGAGGGAAAGTTGTTGAGAGGGAGGGAAGGAGAGAGGAAGAATGGAGAGAGGGAGAGAGGCAGAAAGCGAGGAGGAAGGGGAGATAGGGTGGTAGGTGTGCCTATGTTATTAAAGTCATTACTCTTTTACCACATGATTAATTCCCTTGTACAGCTGGTAGAAAGTTCACAATTGAATTGCACTATTCCCCCCAATCACCCCTCTTTTAGCCAATAACTGGCAATAAAGGTAAAAATGTTATGATCCTGGCCAATTTCGAAGTACACATTGAATGACATCAGAAATTACAATGCCGTCCAATTGCAAAAGAAATGAATGAACTTGAGAGAAGAGAGAGGGAAAGAAGAAGAAGAAGAAGATGTACACCAGCAAAGACCAATGAGAGTTCCCTTCTTCTTCGCCAACCACTTTCCTCCTCCTTATCTCCTCCCCTCTTATTCAAATAAGAAATAATAATAATAATGTTGAATGGCTGAACCAGAATCAATGTCCGAATCCCTCTTCTACTGCAGGCATCACATGAGGTCAACCATAGCCATGGCCACCTTCTCTCCCCTTCTTTCACGGCCGAGGCTATGGCTGACTACCAGGGCACCGCCCTGCTGTGCAAAGGACAACACAAAGCGGCTATGGCTGCTCGAGCTCAGGCCGCCATGCCTGACCCTGCCTCGAAGCTTCTTGATGCAGCTCTACCGCAATGGAGGCCTTCCAGATGCAGCGCCCACCAAGGTGATGAAGATGGCATCCACCATAGCCAGGTAAGTACCTCTGGCGCTCCTCCCTCCTAGTCCTGGTCTTCTTCCTCCTCCTGTCCTTGCTCCTCCCCAGCAGCGCTGCTCTTGATGCTAGCGCTGCTCCAGCCAGCGCTCCAACCAGTGTGTCGCCAAACTTGCACACCGACAATGAGGAGGAGCACTTTGCTCCTCCTGGAGATATAGCGGTCTGCTTGCCTCTTGGCAAGTGACTTCCTAGGCTGCGCAGCCTCCAAGCAACCGGTACCTCCTCCCTTTCGGAGGGAAACATCATTGCAGACTCTGATATTGCCCGTACAGGCCCTAGGCTCAGACTGGTTGCACTGGTACCTGCCTAGACCTAGCCTACAACTACTGGGCCTCTAAAAATGCCAACTTTTGTCTTCTTCTGCTTGGCCTCGAGTACCAGGCACATCTACCTCTACTTGGTGTGGTACCGACCTACCTGCTACTTGAATGTTTTCCGCTGCTCTAAGTGTCACGGACCTCTTTCCCCGCTACTCGAGTGCTTTCCCCGCTGCAACCCTCAATGTCACGGCCACAGGTAAGTACCGACCCTTCGGGCCTTCTGAACAAACAAGTGCCCTTGCGGGTCACATACACACTCAAGCAGACAAGCACTCAGACAGGCATGCAGACCAGCAAGCACACACACACACAGACTTAGAAAACTCAACAACAGGCGGGAAACTGGGTAAGGCATACATTCCATGAGCAAACTCAGAAATCAGTGGTGTGTCTCAGTCCGTGTTTGGCAGGTCATTACACTACCCCCCTCTCAAGAGCGAGGTCCCTTCAAGCGAGCGACTCATTCTGACTTCCCAACAAACGCATCATAAGCGAAGATAGCAAAGAGATTTTGTGAGTACTCAGTAGCAGTGAGTTTTGCAGAAATTTTTGGTACAACATTAGAGGCTATCTGTTGCTCGTATGCTTTAAACCACTAGTACCTACGCCAGTGTTGGGAAAATAGGGAAAAGTGGCAGTTTTCCCAAACTCCTAAAAATTTGGAGGCCAGGCCCGACGACGGCTGTCATTGATAAATCTGATCAGCGGTCGTCGTTTCGTTTCGGAGGCCCACCCGAGGCCCGCTATTTTCCCATGCGGCAAAGGTACTAGTGGTTTAAAAACGCGAGGTGCGCTGCGCAGCAGTTCTTTCTTTGAGATCCACTAGAGATCGTCCAACGGGTGATACATGAAATGAATCTGGTACTGTCTGTTACGTCCTTCCCCTACATGTCTTTTAATTCTATCAATCTTGTGACCGCCATTGATTGCACGAGGGATCATGTTACGGACTTCGCCAGGGCTCGATCCCTGGTCTATCTTTTGCTGTTTCGGCTGCATCCCGTTTTCGGCCTGGCACCCTTTTTCCAAACCCCTCCTTTGGTACCGTAGGATTTTGGACAACTGGCGCCATGCTGCAATT